TGGTTTCCAACTTCATTTGTTCATTCTTGCCAACAGTTCAATGAAGTTGGAAGTTTCTTTACATGTACTCTTCCTTGTGCCTTCAAAGTTTTTTACTCAAGTCTTTGAGCCCCCAGCTTTTCCTTTGGGTCTTGGCTTAAAGATCTTTCTTCCCTTCCTGTCTCCTTTACCTAAAGTGGCAGTCTACTGCTTTGCCCCTAGGATAGTCTCTTTCTTTCTTTTATCATCCTGTTTCCTTCATAGCTCTTATTATAGTCTAATTATCTTGCTTATTTATTTGTTTACTTGTTTGTGGTTATCTCCTCCTCTAAAATGTGTACCCTATGAAAGTAGGGACCTTATTCATCAGCCCGAATCCCCAGCACCTAATGCAATATTTGGGATGTGGTGGGTACTTGTATAGTTGAACAAATGATTGAGTTACGTTGTTCTGATTTATAGACCAAAGAAACCCAATTCTGAGTATATGAAAATCTGGATTTATACAACAGATAAACTGTGAATTCATTAGGTATTGAAATCCTGCTCTTGTGTCAGGCACTGTCTGAGAGCACTGGGTACATAGAGACAAATAGGAAAGCCGCTACACTTGGATTAGCACGTTGTCTCCACGTCATGGGTACTTACTGTATAGTAAAAAACTAAAAAGGAATTATTTAAGAATAGCAAAGAGATCAGATTTCTTAATTCAGTAATATCTATTAAGTACATAAATTGATGAGCGAACTCAGAAAGAGGGGATTGTACAAGAGCAAACTTGTTAGAGTGATGAAAATACCCTTTATTTTGCTTTAGGTGGTGTTTATAGGTCTATATAGTTGTAAAAACTCATCAAATTTAACACTTAACTCAGAGCTCAACAGGCTAAACTATAAATTAGGACTCAATATAAAATAAGTTGAAGCAAGCATTATTTAGGCACTGAGGATATAGTGGTGACCTAGACAAATAAGGTGTCTGCTTTTGTAGATCTTACATTGATTGGGGGACACGATGGATGGATGTAGCCATTAAAATTCGTGTTTCCAAATGACGCTAAGAAATTGGGAAATGTTCCTCATATAAAGTGAAAAAACTAAGATATGGACTGTATATACAACATGGTCTCAGTTTTGGCTTTTAAATATTTAAAACGTATATTTACAGAGCAAAAATACCAAAAGTAAAATGTTACCAACTCTTGACTGATAGGATTAAAGTTATTTTTTATACTTTTCTAAATTTTGTAAAATAAATGCTATTTTTGATAATTCTTAACAATAAAAATAAAAAAATATACTGTATAAAATATACATTATACCTAACAGGAGATGATAGTTTTCCCCTCAGAATATCTAAAATATCTGTGATAGCTCAACATATATCAAGCAGGTTTATAGGAAATAGCTATTCTTAAAATTTTTTTTAATTTCTTGTTTGATTTTTCTGTATTTCATATTTGTTCACTAAAAATATATTTACAGTGATTTAATTATATTAAATATATTAAAATATATTTAAAGTGATTTAATTAAGCTTCATAGGCTGTTGTTATTTTTCTTTATTAAGCTTTTCTGTAGTTAAATTGAAGTTTATCACCTTCAAAAAGTTGATTGCACTCAGACTGTTGTATCAATTATTACTTTGTTGTAGGAGATAATAGTACTTTTTATTACCATATTACCACAGAGTAATGTTTTACTGAGGAATTAAGTATGTTGAAAGAACAACATTTTCGGAAGTAGATTTTTAAAAGTATTAACGCCATTTATTCTCAGATTTGTGGGCTAGGACAGGAAATGCTAAACTTAGGAATCTAAGTTACAGTTTTCATCTTTAAATTCTTATTTATTTACTTTTTGACTTTGAGTCATTTAACCTCTCATGACTTTTAAATTTTGTAATATACAGAATAATACTTAAAGTTACTCTACATTTAATAAGCATTTACTGAATAACTACTACTTCAGAATATTTTACTGGGTGTTGGGGTCAATAAGCAATGTCAGACATTCATTGCCAAATCTAGAAGATAAGTGTAAATAAATAATTACAGTACTGTGTGGTGAGTGAGAAAGGGACTGACATTTATGTTCTGCATTCATTCATTTAAGTCATTCATAAAACACCTATGAGGTATCTACTTTGTGTCAGGGAGAGTAGTAAGGACATAGCTCCTTTTCTTACAGGCTTATGAGTCAGCTTTATAAGCAGATGACAGACAGTGGTGTGATAAAAGAAGCATGAGCAAAAAGTGTTTGGAAGTACAGGAGGAAGTGATTGATTTTGCTTTGTGAAATCAGGGAAGACTTCTGGAGAAGGCAATATTTGACCCTAATCTTGAGGGGTCTACACAAATTAGTCCAATAGACTAGAGGTAAAAAGACAGGAGTTCCTTAGGCAAAGAACACAGGAAGGCAGCTACTAGGTAGTAGTAGTAGCTTTGGGTGGCTTCAAGTATGTAAGAGATGGGTGCTGAAGCTGTCAAAGCAGCCATGCCATGCTATAGAGATGCTGCTTTATTGAAACAATGGTTTATAGCAGTGCCATCCAAAAAACATGATGGAAATGATCTCTGGGCTGTCAGATATAGTAGCTACTGGTACCATGTCACTATTGAGCTGGTGATATGTAACTAGTTTGTCTTGGAAACTGAATTTTGAATTTTATTTAATTTTAATGTATTTAAAGTTAATAGCTGTATGTGTATATTAACCATGTTTTTTATTTTCTATATTTTATGATACTTTGACATCTTGGGGCCAAGAATAACCTGCACCTTCCCAGGAGTAGCTAATTCCTAGAGATAGTAAACAACCTGCCTCTGAACACACTTTTCATATGCAAACCAACCACCTCCTTTATCTCCCTCTCACATAGCACCCAGTATTTCTCCTGCCCTAATCACCCAGGGCTAAGTACTAGACAACTAGGGACTACCGCAGTAGCCCAGAGCCCACAGAAATTATTCCTTCGCCTTTTCCGTGGAAACCACAATAAAGATTTGTGCTGGTGCTTTCCTTTTGCCTTCCTCCTGACCAAACCTGGTACTTAACCTATGTGGCCCTGTGTGGCATGGTGTACCCCTTCTTGGGAATTACAAACAATAAACCTTTCTTTCAAGGTAGTTGTCTCCTTGTCTGTCATCTTACCATACCTGGTTAAAATAAAATCCCAGGTACAAATCAAAGCAGTGCGGCTAGTGGCTACTATATTCGACAACAACTGATCTATAGATAGACCCCTTCTCCCCAAGAAACAGTTCTTTTCATTTCCAGAACTTTAATTGATTCAAAGAATCTATATGGAGTGTCTCCACTTTGGTTATGAGAATAAAACAGCCAACATGACAGGCAAGGTCCTTGTCTTTACAGAACTTCATTCTGGCAACTAAAAAATTATATCCCCAAAGATTTCAACTATATACTGTTATCAAATTGAGTTGGCAATATTTTTCCAAAGGAGTTGCTACCACTCTCCATAATCTATTAATAAAAGTTATTTATTATGTATCTTCTCTGTGCTAGGCACTGTTAGGTTCTATACATATAGTATATAAATAGGTTGTTTCATTTAGAGCTCATAACAAACTTTTGGCATGGTGTTGTATCAAAGGTAGTTTCATTTTGGAAGAATTTGTATAAAGCCAGTCTTTTCTTTTAATACTTGAATAGTGAGAACAGTTATCTCTGGGAGTAGTTTTACCAAGAGAAGAACAGATAAAATTTTAAATCTGTTAGATTTGTTTCGTGGTGATTGAGAACAGGTTATGGATTTATTGTCCTGCACTAAACCTGCTTATTAAGCTGTAGTTTACCCACATGAAAAATGGGAATAATAATGGTACCTACCAAATACAGCTGTTTGAACTAACACAGCTTAACAGAGTTATATAAGGTAATACAATTGTACTCTTAGCGTAGTCTGTTAACATTAATTAGCATGCCTTGGCACATAATCTTTAGTTTTTCTTTTTTTCTTGACTAAGCTATTTCTACACAGTGCTTAGCAAGATATCAGGTAAGCATCCAGTGAAGATTGTCAAAGGATAACATTTTAAGAACAAAGGATTCTCTGCAGAGGCATGGCACTAGCCAGCGTTTGATGAATGCATGCTGAAATGTTTATCTTGGTTTCCTTATGTGTTTGTCTTCATAGATCTAGGGACCATTTTATTTACTTATATTCCCTAACCCCCCCCCCACCCAAGACAGTACTCCTAAGGCATTTAGTGACCACTTAGGGAATAAGATGTATCTAATAATGAGAACATTCAGTGTATGAAAATTTCAATTAGTTCTTTAAAATAATAGCTTTTAGACAACATTTCTTAAGGAATCACTATGTCTTACCAAAAATGTAAATTAAAGCACTGAAGACATGTTCTGTCTGAAATCCTAAATCAAGGGTAAAAATATTCATTCTTGGGTATTCTGTTATATGATTTTTTTAAAGATTTTATTTATTTATTTGAGAGAGAGAGAGAGCGCACGGACAAGCTGGAGGACAGGGAGAAGCAGGCTCCCCACTGAGCAAGGAGCCCATGTGGGGCTCGATCCCAGCACCCTGGGATCATGACCTGAGCTGAAGGCAAACGCTTAACCCACTGAGCCACCCAGGTGCCCCTGTTATATGATTTTAGACATGGTGGAAATGTTTTCTAAACCTATAAAATATATCACTTTTGTTTGTAATTGTGATCATTATTCCTGTAATAAAAACAAAGATAAACACAAATATACTTAGTGTGAGGATAATGAAATAGGATATTTGACACAGGATCTATTTCTCAAAGTTATGTGTCCCAGTTTTACAAGTCTTAAGTTAGCCCACAGATAAAACAAGGTGGTCTCAGGTATAGGTGGCTTGATTGTGTTACTTATACATAGTGTTATACATAAGTTAGTTTTGAGATTAACGTGAGAAGTAAAGAATAGGTAAAGAGTAAGCTCAAGGACGACACGTGCTGTTTGAGCTCTGTTATGAGAGGGCCGCACACTGTTAAATCCGTACGTGTTCAGTTTCAGAATGGCTTCGGTTACTGCCTTTCCTCGGTGTACTTGCACTACTTGGCTACCTTGCAATTCGTCCATTCCTTCCGAAGAAAAAACAACAGAAGGATAGCTTGATTAATCTTAAAATACAAAAGGAAAATCCCAAAGTGGTGAATGAAATAAACATTGAAGATCTGTGTCTCACCAAAGCAGCTTACTGTAGGTGTTGGCGTTCTAAGACGGTAAGATGTGCACTCACATGTACTCTAACACCATGCAGTTAAAGTTGTTCTGCTTCTTAAATCATCAGTTTTGAGGTTCTGGGAGATGAACGGCTTTTCCACAGGGTTCAGTACTGAAAATCTATATGCCTAAGTTAAAGTTTGCATTTTATGTTGGATACTTACCTACATTAGAAATGTTACAGCAGCAAGGAAGGGTAGAAATCTGATGCTTCAGAGCTGATGTCTGCCACTGATAGTATGACTTTGGTTGGGCAGGTTACTTAATCTTTAATCTCTGATGTTCAGGGTTTTATTTTTTCCCTGATAATATGTTACCATCATAGACATTTTTTAGGATTTAGTGAGATGCTGTATGTACAGTACCTTATATATAGATGAGCTTATAAATGGCACCTGTAATTATGGATGACTTTTAATGTGGAAATAATAAGGAGTATGGAGTGATGAGTATTATAAGTAGCTGGTGAGATCTGTTTTCTTCTAGTACTATGATCATAGGTTATTTGAAGTTTTAAGTACGGTAGTGTTCATCACAACATTTTTTTGTAATAGCAAAGTTTTGGATCTGATAATGGAAATGATTAAAGTATGGTATAATACAAATTATGGGATATTAGGAAGCTATTACAAATCATGTTTTTAAAGACATGAGAGCATGATGTAATTAAGAAAAGCACAGTACAGTATGATCCCAATTTTGTTTTTTAAAAGAATACACATTGTAAAGGCAGAAGAAAAATAGATCAAAATTATGATTATTGTAACTTATGAGTGAATTTTTTTAAATGCATTTTTAAATTTCAAAAATTTTATAGTATGTGTGAGTTTTATAGTAAGAAAACATGAAGTAATGTATTTTCAATTTAAGTTGCAGTCAACTCTTGAACAACGTGATGGTTGGGGCAGCCACCCCCTGCACGGTCAAATCTGGGTATAATTTTTGGCTCCAAAACTTAATAGCCTACTGTTGACCAGAAGCTTTACTGATGACATAAACAGTTAACACATACTTTGTATGTTAGATGTATTACGTACTTTATTCTTACAATGAAGTAAGCCTGAGAAAAAAATAAGAAATATTCTCTTCCTATGGTAAGAAAACCATAAGGAAGAGAAAATTCATTTACAGTACTGGACTGTGTTTATTGAAAAAAATAAATCCACAGGTAAGTGGACCCGCACAGTTCAAACTTGTGTTGTTCAAGGGTCAACTGTACATTCTTTTCTAATTTAAATAAATGAAGAGGTGAGCTCTAATTTGGGGTTCCACAGAGAACAAGGGCTTTTTTTGATCCTCCTTTAAACCTGTTTTATTGACTCTTGGAATAATTCAAGATAAAATAAAATCTATGTCAAATAATACATTATTTAAAATTGTTAGATTTGCTGTGAGATTGGAATGAGTTAGGTTAGATGCAGAATATACATTACTCAGGAAAGCTATCTGATGATTTTTTTTTTTGAAAGTTATATATTTCTTTATAAGAGCATTTCACAAATATTCCTACTTATTAAATCATTTTTAAAATAACACTTGTAATTCTTTTTCCTTTCTAGTTTCCTGCCTGTGATGGTTCACATAATAAACACAATGAATTGACAGGAGATAATGTGGGTCCACTAATACTGAAGAAGAAAGAAGTATAATAGTAATGAATTAGGATTGAATTTAGTTGTGTGCTGTAAAATCTTATAACAATATTTTTTCATTCTTTGTGTGTAGATCTTTCAAATGGTGGTCTTAATTATTGCTACTGGTTGAGTAATTATTTCTGCCAATTTATTTTCTTGCTACACTACTGTTTATATTTGATACTTTATATATTCAAACAGTCATTTATATAGAAATTAAATTGTACAACCCTTTCATTCTTACTTCAAAGACTTAATGTATCTTCCTAAATAAAACCAACACTCTTGGTTTTAACTGAGAAAAATCTGTTTTTGACAGTGGGTCCAAAGCTATTTCTTTGAATATCAATATTTTCTATAGAATCTACATTTAAAGTTTTTCTCCCTATGTATACTATTAAATATATTATTTTTCAGTCCCCTTCTGTTTTGATCATTTGAAGTGATTTTTCCTCTTGGCCATCCACACTCCTTTCTTTTCAGATCAATAAGAAAAATATTGCTCTCAAGAACTATTTGAGTTTTTAAAGAGATAAATGCTTTGCTTTATAAAGACTGTGTCTAATAAGTGTGAATATCCCAATTTCAGAAAAGACATGAACTGGATATAGAAAGTTCCAAAAAGGAACAGTTATTTACATTATAAAAGTTTTACTTTACAAAAGGCTTGTGTTTGTTTAGGTGTGTTTTGTAAAAGTATCTTGAACTCTTTGACTCAGTGACACGGTGGGATGGGGTGGCAAGAATACTTATAGTAAACTCCTGAGCTGCTGCAGTTTGAAGGTTAATTAGAAATAAACATAAAATATATCTGAATTCATATTAAAATGATAAATCAGTGTTCAAAATCGTATACATTTTTCTCTTTGTAACAGTGTAAGCCAATAAAAGATAAAATACAAAAAAGTTGCAAAATAAACTTACTGGAGAATCTTTAAAACTTTTATAATTTTTTAGCCTGAGTCTATTTAGTTTTATTGTATATTATAGTTCTTACATTAATAGCTGTCCTTAAGTCTGTCTATGAAAGGTACAATCCTTTCAGTTTACTGTGTCTTTTTTATATAGAAAGAAGGTACAGGAGGCAGACATATTTAATTCTCCCAATAATAATCAAAGCTAAAAGCACGTGTATACACGAGACCCTGCACTAAGTCCAGTACCTAGATTTGTAATTTATTACATGTAATGTCAGTAGGTTCTATTGTGTGATCTTTGATCTTGACTCTTGTGACCAACAGCGGGAATTTTAAAATTAGAGTTAGAAATGTAATTGTGATTTTTGAGAAGTTTTACAAGGTGTATGTACAAAATAGTTAATCTTTCCTCATGTGCGAAGAGGGAGAAATGTACCACTGCTGTCACCATGGCTCTGGATGTTCTTTCTTACAGCCTTCTCTTTGACACTCTTAAGGGGCTTCACTGTCAGATGAAGCAATTATTTTTCCATAAGTGATCACAAGACTTTGGGAAAAATCCTCCTTACCAAAAGTTTGAATCTCCATGGTCTGTGGTCATGAAATGCTTTTCTTTAAAATTATTTAGTGCAGCACAACAACATGTATATTCTAGTGGTTCCCAGACTTAGATTTCACAGGAGAAGGTAAAATTTCCTAAAAATGTGGAGACTAAAATGAAATTATCAACTTTAAATTTTGTCAACTAAACATATATAAAGAATTGAAAACTAATGATCTCATAAAAGGTAACTTTAACAGCCAAAAGTATATGGGCTATACTCTCAGGATAGTTTTTGCTCCCCACATTTTCAATTTTTAAAATATGTTAAAGAGCTGTGTCCAAATATTTTCCTACCTGTGCAGATTTTTCAGAAGCCTCGGGCTGCTAGCAAGCTGTTATTTTAATGACTCCCTTTACATAAGCATTATTATCAGTTGCTGTCACTTCCTCTTGTAAAATCACAGAATTCTATCATGTGTGCTTTAAAAACTGGATATCTAGTAACTGCTTCTGAATTGTTACAACAGAAGATAACAGCTCTTGAAATACTTATCTTGGGTTTCTAGAACCTTTAAGAAACAACTCTGTCACTGTCACGTGATTGTTTTGAGGCCTGCTTCTCCTTACCCAGGGAACTGCTCATTGCCTTAGTCAGCAAATGAGCCACCACCATTACATAAATACCAGGTATCCAAAACTGTTGAGCAGGCTTGAGGTATTAATGACTCATTCATATGGGTAATTAAGCAAGTTGTATTATGAAAACACCTTACAATTGAACTTTGAATTCAATGCCTCATATGATGATTCATTGAATTGCTTTTGTATTTTGTAACCTAATTTGTTAATAAGTTTATGGGAAGCTACTTAAGCCAGTTGCTGATCCAAAGAGTTCTACCTTCCTTATTGTGATTCCTATAGTTTTCCAGTAGAAACATGCTGTCAGACTCTCCCTCTGCAAAGAGAGTTTTAAAACTCTACTGTTCAATAGGGTTCTTAAATTGTGGTGGATATTTTATTAACTACCAGAAACATCCAAGAATTGAGTACCTCAGGTCCCCATCTTCAGAGTCTGCTTATTCTTACTTCACAACTAATTCTGATACATTTGGTTATCTGATTTCGCCTAAAAAAAAAAGTCAAAAGAATGGACAGAGTCTTGCTAGTGGCAGGTAAACAATAAAATGTAACAGCTGATAGCAGGGGAGGGAACCAAACAATAAATTTAATGTGAACATTAAAAGCATAGCAGCTTGAGAATTTAACATGGGATCCTGCACACCACAGACCCTGAGAGCATCTCTGTGATCAAATTATACAGTGATGTTTCATGATGAATTTGAATCAAGATAGGTAGTATATGGTGTTTAAGGAGGCAGGATGTGTGTGGCATTTGGTGATACCAGTTTCCACTTCAAATAGTGAAAACTTTAGCACTTAAAAGTCTTACATCCAGGCGGAAAATTTATGCAGGAAATCCTTGACTCATTCTTGGATATTTGGAGGGTTATCATAGGAAGTTCTTCCATTTAATTGAAAAGTTTTTCAAGTTTAATGATGCTAATTCACTACATAATTTAATTTGTTTAAAGTATGAGGAAAACTGAAGGAACAGTGATTTAAACCACAGAAATCATGTTAGAGGACCTCCACCTTTGGGAGGCTAAAGTATGCTTGTTTGAAAAGCACTCAGCCGCGGTTCCGTGACTGCCTGTCTTGCTGGCCATGGAGTCCCTTTGCACCAGAGGTTGGACTGCAGAGGACTTCCGTAGCTGTTTAGTTTAGTTTTGTTTTGTTTTGGCTATGCATCATCTGAAGCTGTATTTTAGTTTGTCACGATAGTCTTTTCCTGGAAGCTCACTTTATTTTATCATGTTCAGATAGTGAGTACTTCTATCTTTTGCAGAAATCCAGTTTAGTGGAATCATGTTATAGCAAGCGTTATTTTAATATAAGAAGTAGTCCATACTATTAGCGACAGTATTATGCCATTTTATATTAGTTATGGTCTTGAAGGACATTGAAAATCTGTATGCAAGAGGCATACTTCTGTTGTTACTCAGAGATGACATCACCCACTAATTGTCCTTTGGTTTAAATATTTGATTCTTTGCTTATAAAAAGAGTGTATCTGTGACTCTATTCTCTATTGTCAAATTCAATATTTACTGTTGTCAAATAGATCAGCTACAGTGTTAACAAATTCCTGGTCTCTCTTATAAGGCTGAAATTTTCCAATATGTAGAAAAGGGGAAAAGGGTAGTAAATTGCATAATTACAGAGGTGAACCCTGTACTAGTGAGAAAATAAAAAATGTCAAGAAATAATTCACTAAATTTTCAAATTTCCTGTAATTTTCCATTAGTATCCATCATATATTCCTCTGCCTTATCACAATGAAGATAGGAATCCATAACACCCATTCAACAAATTTAAGAAACTCACAACTTAGAAGTATAATCTTCAACTATGTTGAATGCTGCCAAGAAGTGAAATAAGATGATGATAGAACGATGTTCATTTTAAAATGCTGCATACAACTGTATAAGTAACACATTGGAAAACCTAGAGGAAATGGATAATTTGCTAGAAAAACATAAATGACGGAAAGTGACCCAAGATGAAATTTAAAATGTTGATTGGTTATCAAATGAGAACATAAAAGTGAGTTTTTTTAAAATAATTTTTTATTGTTATGTTAATCACCATACATTACATCATTAGTTTTTGATGTAGTGTTCCATGATTCATTGCGCATAACACCCAGTGCTCCACGCAGAATGTGCCCTCTTTAATACCCATCACCAGGCTAAACCATCCCCCTTAAAGTGAGTTTTTAAATCCATAATTTAAAAAGTACTTGGGGTGCCAGAGTGGCACAGTCTGTTAAGTGTCCTACTCTTGGTTTCTGCTCAGGTCCTGATATCAGGGGTTCTGTGCTCGGCGCAGAGTCTGCTTGTGATTCTTTCTCCATCTCCTTCTACCCCTCCCCCCCATGCACGCATACTCTCTCTCTCTCTCTCTCTAAAATAAATAAGTCTTAAGTACTAAGATTGCAAGAAAAATAACTCCAATGTTATTTAAATTATCCCCAATTTTTTGTATAGGGAAAACTTCCCATCTCATTTGATACCGTTACATAACATGAATATGAAAAGCTGATAAACCCACACACAAACTCAGAGCAATCTCACTTATACATATCAATGAAAATTCTAAAAAATGCAACAATTAAAAAAAAAAGGTTAATATACCATGGCAAAGAGAATTGTACTCCAGGAATTGAGTATTTTGATCAGTAAATCTATTAACACAATTATATAAATGAATTAAGAAAACATCATATCGATAGATGCTGAAAGAACTATTGCTAAGATTCAATAGCCATACCTAATCAGGATTCTTCAGTAAAATAGAAGTTGAAGGAAACTATTTAAACACAATGAAGGTTATTTATGAAAAGCCTACAAGTATTTAAAATCAAATTCTTCCATTTAAAATCAGGAACTAGCAGGAATGAATGCTTACTGTCATTATATGATATTAAAAATTTTCTCAGATGATCCAGTGAATGTGACAAGATTAAAAAGTGAAATTATCAGTATAAATATAGGAAAATAGAAAACTCTGTTGATGTAATTATATACCTAGGAAACCATAGAGACTAGGAAAAACAGAATTAAAGAGAGATTTTTGTAAGGTATTTGGAAACAAGATGAATCTACAAAATGTAGTACCATAAGCACCTTGAAATGCTAATGGGAAAAATATTTAATTCACAATAGCGAAAAAAATTAATAAAGGTAAAATAAACTTACCAAGAAAGGTAAAAGACCATGGAGGGGGGTACCTATGAAAATGTTATTAAAAGAAATTGAATGACATTTAAACACATGAAAAAAGCTCGCTAGTGTAAAAATATAAATCTTTTAAAATAATATATGGGCACCTGGGTGGGTCTGTTAAGCGTCCAACTCTTGATCTCAGCTCGGGTCTTGATCTCAGGGTCATGAGTTCAGGTTCCACGTTGGACTCCACACTATGCATGGAGCCTACTTAAAAAAAGATAAAAAATAAAATTAATATATAAATTTAATTAAATTCACATTAGAATCCCAAGATTATTTAAAAATTGGATTAAATTAACTTTATATAGAAGAATAGTTAGAAAATTCTACCAAAAAAGACTGTTGAGAAGAACTTTACTCACCAGATATCAGCATATACTATAAACCCATCAGAATCAAGTTAGTTTTGTTTTTGTTTTTGTTTTTGTTTATTTGACAGAGAGAGAGAGTGAGAGAGGGAACACAAGCAGGGGAAGTGGGAGAGGAAGAAGCAGGCTTCCCACTGAGCAGGGAGCCCGATATGGGGCTCAATC